ATTTGAGGCAACTGGGATAGAAACCCAATAAAGTAAATTCAGTTGCATTAATCATTGGAGAGAAGAGCTTTTAAAATGTAGTTTGTGGCTAGGGTACCATGTTTATATTGTTATCTCCTCTCTCTCTTTTATATCTGTGTTAGAAAATTGTGAGTAGTTTCTTTCCTCTTAAAATCATTTTTTTTACATTTCTTATACACACCTGTGACAACGGGTTCCAAGAACATTAATTTCTTACTAAATTTAGTGGCTACTGAAAATACACTCTGAATTTATCAGGAGCAACAATATGCTATTCTGATTCTTCATTGATATTGTAATTACTCTGATGTGACAAATGATGGCCTGTCAGTTTTACAAATATATTTTATTGTGCAACTGCAACTCATATAACATTTGGCTTGATATTGGCATATCCATTTGTAAGTGAATTTGTGAATAATTGACAATGGGTGAACAAACTCTAGTGATCACAAATGTAAAGTATTAGTTTTGCTGTGAGTGACTGAAATAAGCCTTTAGCAAAATGTATTCATTTCATGTCCCAATCTTATCAATTGTGTTTTACACCTACTGTGTTTTTAGTGTCATTCAATGTGGAAAATTATTAAAATAACAACAACAAATTTTTTTGGGGGGGGATTTGAGATCAATGATGGGCTGTTATTTATTGAGACAGGAACAATTATCAGCTTTAAGATTCTGATACTTACTTAGATGAACTTCGTACCTTTGTAACTGCAGAGTAGTTTATCAATTTCCTGCAATATATTGAAATGGAAGAGATTTCACAGGAAGATAAAAAATAAATGGGTACAACCAGTGGTATTTCAAGAAAGAACATAGATGCTGCAGTCGAAAAAAAAAATTAGGGAAAGTCCCCAGGCCATAAGGATTACGAATTGAATGATATAGAACTTATACAGATTTATTTGTACTGAACAGATTTATTGAAAGCCTATTGTCTCTCATTTAATCTTTAGATATTTCCTTTATTATGAAATTTATTTACCATAATGTTAAAACCTGAGAAAACCTACAAACGAGGTGCAAGCTATAAACCAATATTTTTGCTTAATGTGAATGTAAAATATTAATTATAATACCAGCTATAAACTGAAGAAACTTCTTGGATGACAAGCAAAATGTTTTCAAGGAAAAAAAAAAAGGCCCGTTGCCTTTTGGAAAGCACCTCTGGGACAATCATGACCTGTATGATTGAGAATCTCCATTGATACTAGCTAGGAGGTTGCAGAAAGTAACATAATCTGTAATTTATTCATCTTAATCTGGATTTACAAAAGTAGACAAGCATATGACAATGTCCTCCAGTAATTATTATTGTGGATATTGCAGCAAAGAAATTAGAATCACTTATTCTAATTTAACTGGACAATGAAAGATTTTCATATAGTTAAAATTAAATCTATGAAGTGATTTCTAAGAAGAAATGGATTTCCATCATCTTTTATTCAATTTCATTACAATTATATGTTTGCAGATATTATGAATAAATTTGGTTTTAAATGTTTCAAGTTATATTACGACATCTGGAAGCATGTCCCTTCTCTCTTTTAATTTTTAGTTTGATTATTGAACCTCTGGCTTCTGTTAGACAGTTTCAAGATACTGAGATTGTATTGACACATGACTGTAAATTGTTCTTATAAGTCATTGATATCAGAATTATCCTTGATAATTATGTAATGTCATTACCAGAATCATATAGTCATACAACAATATGGCTTACTGTATATTTGGAGTGTACTATTGGAACAAATATAGTAGATCTGAATCTGCCTTTGAGATCTACTATATCTGTGGATTATTGTAAATGATTAGAGACTCTATAAAGTACTTAGCTTTATATTTTTTCCTCCAAATATATAATAGTATATTGAATTAAACATCTAAATGCATAGGTGTAAATTTCAGTAGATACAACTCAATATTTAAATCTCCAATTAAGTTTTTAGAGCAAGGTTAATGTTATCAAAATGAATAATACAATGAGATTCATGTATATTCTAAGAGGTATCCAAATGTTACCTTTTAATTGGATACTTTACAAAATTATAAAGATATTTGATTTAGTGTGAATTGTAAATTAATACCAGGTTGTGTTTAATGTGAATCAAAATGCAGTTAATGTGAGGCTAACAAGTGTACAGTTGAGGGTAGCACACATGCAGGTGCCATTGGGGTTTTAAATACTGTTAATTTTTATGTATGCAAAATGGAGAAAAGGAAGATTCCATCAGAAGAAAACAGTAATGTGCAGATTAAATAGTTCACTGTGAAGGAATTTAAAATATTGTTTGAGTTGTAGAAGGCGTGAATCAAAAAAAATTATGGAAGCTGACCCTAACCTCAACTGAAGCATGCAAATTTGCCAGGATGTGGATAACACATTCTGCTTCTACCAACCTATTTATGAAGATTTAAAGAAAGAGAAAGCAGTTCAATCTACACTTCTAAAATACTTTGCAAGAAGTAACAGAATAGAAGAATAAAAGAGTTGGAAGGGACCTTGGAGATCTTATAGTCCAACCTCCTGCTCTAGCAGGAAGCCTTATACCATTTCAGATAAATGGTTGTCCAGTCTCTTTTTAAAAACCTCTGGTGCTGGAGCACCCACAACCTCTGGAGGCAAGTTGCTCCACTGATTAATTGTTCTGTCAGAAAATTTCTCCTTAGTTCTAGGTTGGTTCTCTCCTTGATTATTTCCATCCATTGCTTCTTGTCCTGCCTTCAGATGCTTTGGAAAATAGACTGATCCTCTCTTCTTTGTGGCAGTCCCTTAGATAATGGAACATTGATAGCATGTCACCCCAGTTCTTCTTTTCATTAAACTAGACATACCCGATTCCTGCAAACATTCTTCATATATTTTAACCATATGAAGCCAATACATTTTTGTATGTAAGCTTATCTTTATGGATCATATTTAGAATTTTTTAGTTTTTATTTTGTTTTCTATAGCTACTCTGGGACTTTGTTAACAATACATTTCTTTTTATCGTTTGCTGTAACATTTCATTCATATATATTTAAAAATGTATGTTTAAAAATTTTCATAGCCTGTTTCCATTGAGCTGGAACAATTATATTTTTCCTTAGAAATATCACTTCAAATAATGCAAATTGAATAATGTGGTCATTTCATGGGATTTATTAACTTCATTAGTTGAGACCAATCTATGTTTGAAAATAGAGAAGATGTTTTACCAGAATGATTGGGCTAAATAAGAAATCAACTCTTCTAATGATTACTTTAAAGATGTTGATAAATGTGCATGTTGAATATAATTTATCTGTAATTTTTGCTTACTATATATATAACTGAAATGTGTACTGATTAAACAGTAATGTCCCCAAGGCTCTAGCAGCCTGCAAATACCTATAATTTTAGGATTCTTAAGAGATGCAGTGATTGAATGGAACCAATAGTTCAGTTTTATAAGGGTTAATTAAAAGTAAAATCAAGATTAGTATTAATCTTTCTCACTCCTTGTGCTGTTAATAATCAAGAATTTATATTATATTGCACGGATGTCAAACTTGCCACATCACATGACGTGTCGCGACGTATTGCGACTTTTTTTGCATTGCCAGCAATGGGATGGGGGCAGCTTCGGTATGATGAAATCAGCCCACGGGCCGGCAGTTTGACACCCCTGCTATATTGCAAAACAGAACTTTGACATATTGAAGCCAGTTTGCATTATGTATGTATTTAACACATACTTTTGAAAAAGCTCTTTAAGTGAATCAGAAGCAAAATGAATAAATACTTGGAAGGAAACAAAAGGAAGTTCAGTAATTACTCCAAAAACTAATTTTAAAGAAGGTGTTTGACTCGTGACATAAGCATACACAGTTAAAGCAACGTGACCATATCTGCCTAAGATTCCAGCTTGAAAATCATTTTGCCTAATATTCTTTGGCATTAAAAAGTCACTTACCAAATTTTACAGTGACTTCATATCATAGTCAACATTGTTTTCTTGACAATAATATGAAAATGGTTTGCAATTTTCTCCTTCTCTAATGTATTTTTTCAAAAAAGTTTTCCAGTAGGGATATGCAAAATTTGTAAGTTCAGAACACAATATTATAAAAACCTCCAAATTGTTGTTTCCTCATCTGTACTATGCTGAATGTCCTTTGAAATGGATCAAGGTCTCCCAGAAACAGTTCTCCAGAATACTTCCTTATCTAACTTACAGTTATACATTTTAGTGGGCTCTCATTTAAGTGCTAACTATTGTTCTTAAATTTTTGAGATCAGCTGAAGAAGGCTATGTGCTTCTGCCTATCTGGGCCTACCTTATTTAGCTTGACTTCTTTGCAGTTTCGAATGAACGCAAATATATGTTTCTCAATATATTGTAATTCAGGGATGTCAAACTGGAGCCCATGGGCTGGATGCGTCACGCGCAGGCCACTCCCACCCTGATTCTGCAAAGGCAAAAAATGTCACGATACGTCATGATATGTCATGTGACGCGATCAAGTTTGACATCTGTGTTGTAATTGATGCTATGTTGTTGGTGAAGACTCCAAGTGAATCTCAGCATATTATTACACTGTATGATGTAACATACAGCATGGTTTTTAAAACTCATATATCAGAGATCAAGGTGTTGTGTATGAAGGGAAAATATAGTGAGTGATTCATACATGTAAGGACTGATGCTGGTGCAAAGGGCATTGCTCAGAATTCCACTTAGTGCCGTTAGAATGCAGTACTGCAGGCTAACTCACTGCTCACTGCCAGGAGTTCGATTCTGAGTGGCTCAAAGTTGATTCAGCCAGCCATCCTTCCAAGGTCAGTAAAACGAGTAGCCAGATTGTTGGAGGCAATATGCTGACTATAAACCACTTAGAGAGGGATGTAAAGCACTGTGAAGCGGTATATAAGTCAAAGTGCTATTGCTACTGCTATTCTCCACCAACATTTTTCTTAATATTCAAAATCTGGTATTTCTTTTTCTCAGATGGTCTCTTTTTATACTGACAGGGTGGAATCAGGTACGATTTTCAAAGATAGAAAAATACAGAAAGGTATAACAAATAGTGTTGGTGAAAACTGGGTTTATTTAAATTTCATTTTAACTTCTGACATTAATTTCTTGCTCACTATATTTCATTTTTTCTGTTCTTATCGTAATTTTGTTTAGCTTAACATGATAGATATACACAAACAAACAAACACACATGCACACTAAGCTCAGTTGTTGATGTATACATTTTTTTCTTCCCCAAAAGGAATTGGATTTTAACATTATTGTCTCTTTGGGGACTGCTTAAAGAAAGCTATGTAGAGCTGTGTGCTTCAGGCTGTCTCTCTAAGTTGGTTTTAAAAAAAGAAATTTAATTAAAATCCTATCACAAAGTACTGTGGATCAATGTTTCTAATTCATCAGAGGTCAGTATGGAATGTGAATGACAGCCCCTATCTGATGCCTATTTAGCTTATTGTATTTAGGGAGTAGATTGTTGGATAGACATTTGTGTTGTAATGAGTGTCAATGTCAAATTGTCATAGACTGATTAGCAGTTTTCTCATAGGCTTGTAGACTGAGCCAGAATTGAAAAACTGGTGGATGGTTTTGGAAGTGTCAGTACTCTGCTACAAGTATGCCCTGTTGTTCTGTATGCTAAGGCAGCAGTCTCCAACATGATATTTTCCAAAGTTATATTATTAAGCTTTTGTAATTTTCAGCCAGCTTTTCAGTGGAATGCATTGTGTTGGAAATAATATTAGAGTTAGAAACAGCAGTCTAGGTTGAAAACAGAACTTTTTTTGCCAACTTCCAAATAATATAGACAGTATAGTGTATAATACATCTTATATATTATAATTTAGGAAAATATAGAATGTTTGGACACAATCAAAAATTGAAACATTCTGCAGTGCTTCAATGTAATCCCTATGGATAGGCAGCAGAGAAGGTATTTGATATCGATAATGTTACTGGATAAGGTACATCCTTAAAAATTATGCAGTGTTATGTACTTCTAGAATTACTGTATAAAATAGTGTATCTTCCTGATATTTCCTGTTGGCTAAATTAGCTTTCTGAAATCTATCATGTTCTAAATGTGCTGGACTTCATCTTCCATAATCTCCAACCAAAAGGAACAAGCCAGACTGATTGATTTAACACAACAAAAAAGGGACAAAGTTGAACAAAGGTAGGCTAGGTTGTCCTCTGTGTTATATTTTTGTTTGTTTCAACATATTGAACTGTACAGTAGGTCTTTGGTTTTTGTGATGCCTTTTAAATTTTATATTTTGAAATAATGTTTAGTAAGGTTTACAGTTGTGTTATGAGCAGAAGTTTATTTTTTAAAATTCTGATGAGGAAGAAGGGATTAATGTCACTCTTTCATGGAGACTTTATATATTGATGTGAAATCTTGTATATGCCTTATCAGAAATTGGCCCTAAGGAATTTAATAGGACTTACTTTGAGGTAAGCTTGCATTTGGAATAACTACTTTTAATTCAGAGTACTCTGAAGCAAGTAATGACTTGCTCCAGAGAAGGCATGTATAGAATGAAATTCTATTAAGACAGTTCTGTTACAATGTGCATGTAATGAGGAAGTGACTCAGTTGAAAATACATCTGTAGCAATTTTGTGCTTCTCTAAAAATGATCTAAGAAGAGAGAATTTTTGTTTTATTTTTAAAGAGAGAAAGCACCATTTCAAATGTTAATTTAAAGCTGTGTTGGCAGGCCATACTTTTCACGATTTTGTGAGAAGATAAGAGAGAGGAATTGAAGAGAATGACTAGAGAAAATGCTGATGTAACTTTTTTTAAAGCTATTAAGAAAATGAAGATGAATGCTGTCAAAAACTATCCATAGAAGGTTTTTATCTTCTGAATATTTTGTATTCATTGTATACCTTTGAAGTTGTTTTTCCAAGAAATAAACTTTTGTGCTTTGTTTATTTTCAATTTTTCTTAGATAACTTGTTTATTTAAAAATACCCAAATGTTAGAGGGAATTAAGGCTTAATAATGGATTGTGTCTTATTTCAGAAACCAATTGATTGGTATATATGATCACTACTGGACATGGAAGTAGGCTTCCATATCAAAATTTCTTCCAGACAAGGTAGAAAGGGAAGGTTGGAGACAAATATTTATTATTGAGGATGTTGAACCAGTACTGGATGATTATCAAAATTTCAGTTAAAATTTAGAAGCTCTTTGATGACCATGTAAGACACATGACCATCAATCATGAAACCTGCAAACTAAGCATGATCAGCATAGAATGTGGACATACATATTGGATTTTAAACATTTGCCAGAAATATGGGATGGAATGATTTTTCTCCGACCAATTTAGAGAAGGATTTGCTGATGAGCTGAGCAATTAATTTGGCGAAACAAATACCCTAGATAATTTGGAAGAACATTCCAGGGTTGCCTGATAATATGTGCAACAGCTTTAACTTTGGGGATTGGTTGTAGGTTCCTTCGCTCAACACTGCTGTAACCTTGAACAATCCCTGGTGGTAAGTTGGGGACTACCTGAACCCACAGCCACCTGGTCTAGGTACAGATGATAGTAGGATATTGTTTCTCCCATCTAGCTTCACACAACTTGCAGGTATGGGGATTAGATTTTGGTAATCCTACTTGCCTGGCCTGGAGTTGAAAGAAATAATTGGTTATCAATAGCATACTGATGATTCTGAACCACATACGGTTGGATGATTTCACTCAACAGTTTTGTGTAGATGTTGAACAGAGGGGAGAGAGGCCCCATGGCAGTCCAAAAGCGGAGGTCTAGGGAGCAAGCTCTACCCTCAAACCTACACTGACTGAAACTGGTCCCAAAGAAAGGAATTTAATCAAGTAATTGAGATTCCCCTCTAGTAAGATTAATCTCTAGTAAGTGATCTTCCCTATAGAGTACATTTTGTAGTTCTTTCATAAGCAAAATTGGCATCCAGAAGTACCCTTTGTTATTTGATGGCAGGATCTATGCATGTACAATGCTGCCAATCTTTATTGTTTTACAGTCAGAAAAGTCTGATAGGCTCCTGGAGAAAATGCACTACTTTGTCATTTTCTTCTTCGTCCGATTGGGCAATTATTCAGAAAAGGACAGCATCATCAGTGGGGTGCAGATTAATCACTTGCAATTTTGGGGTATGAACTGTGAATCACTCAGATTCACAGTTATAATCTGAGTGAATAATCTGAGAAAACTAAAACAAAAGCAATTTACAAGCAAAAGTTTAAAAATTTACATTCATACAAAACAAAATTATTTGTTAAGAGGCAACTTTTTTAAAAAAATTGTTCAAAGCCCCCCCTCCCCGCCCAAAGTTTCAGGATATACATGGTTTGTTTTGTGCTCAAATCACTGATATGATAATTCTCCATCATGGCGAGTGGAGAATCCACCAATGGGTTTGCTTCGTCTTCTGCCCGTATAGACTAAGCCAGCCAAATTGCCACACCCCTCTCCCTGGAGCAGGACCCCAGTCTCGACTTAGTCTTTAGCCCGAGAGGACACACAACTTGGCTCCAGGATCAGATCACCAGATCAGGTCATACTTTAAATTTCTTGACTTTTTCCCAGGAGGGGGTGGTGGAAAACGAGTTGTGTGTCCTCTCGGGCTAAAGACTAAGTCGAGACTGGGGTCCTGCTCCAGGGAGAGGGGCATGGCAATTTGGCTGATTTAGTCTATACGGGCAGAAGACGAAGCAAATCCATTGGTGGATTCTCCATCGTCATGCTGAGAAAAGGTAAGACACACCCCTTTCAAGTTTAAAATATTACAGAACTATGTTTTGTACATAATTGCTGTGTATAAAAGGCAGAACCGTTAAGCATCCAGTAGAAGTGTACAGAAAGAGATATCTGCATAGAAATAATCTAGAATCTCAGTCAAATATGTCTGTTTATACTGACTTACTTATGAAACTAATATTTTATGTTGGAGTCTAGAAGTCATGTTTAAGCATTGTATTTCCAGGTTTTTGTTATGGATATGTGATCAGATATAAGAATTATTTATTTATATTATATTAATTTATATACCTTTTGGCTGTTTCTTAGCACTTCTATAATTAAAAAAAAATGCTACAGTCAGAGAGAATGGTTGCGGTTGTATTTATTAGCTCTTACTTCTACAATTTAGCCTTGAATCACTCAGTCATAAAGCTAGGTGACTGTTGATTATTGGCCTAATGAACCTCTGTCCTGAGAAACAGTAATTTCCATGTAAATCCCACAATACCATGATGTACATCTCAGTTGAGAACAAGCTAAACTGCAATCCCCTAGCCTTGTTTTATATTGATCAGCTGTCCATGGTTGCCTGGATTTAATATCAATTTGATCATGCTGATTCAGCCTGTTTTTTAATTTTGGCAGCATTCAAGATTATTAGTCTCTTACTTGGAATTAAGTGACAAGGATATGATGAGACATATTAATAACATTCCCAAATCTAAAGGCTTCTCCCACTTCCAATTTCTTTTAAAGATGAAACCAGGTAAAGAGCAAGAAGGAGCCCTCTATACTAAACTTCTAGCAGTAAAATAATCCAAATCAAATATCATTGAATGAGCTTCAAATGAAGGAAGGTGTAGAGGGAGAGCTGTTCCAGATTACCAAGGTCCACTTTATATTTACTAGATTAATATTTTTCATACATTGTTTTCAGTGAAAGTACTAATACAATTGATATTTTCTAGTGGAAATACATATCTATTTCACGAATTAAGGCAAATATATGTGTCCCAGGAGTAAATCTCTGGTTCTGGTGACCAACTCGAATTCGATCTCACATATCTATTTACCTGATACTTAACAGAACTTACTTTTGTATAAACATATATGAGTCACTGTTAATATATTAAGCTGAATTCATCTATACAGGAAGTTAAGCTTGATATTCTCTCAGTATATCCCCTTTCTGAAATGTGGCCAGCTGGATTTTGTGTATGGCATTAGTCAAGACCTCAGGGTTGGAGGGGCAGGGTAGCAGTCATTGGGAATCTCTGTTGATCTTCAGTGGTGCTGCTCCACAAGTTGCTGGTATGAGATCCTATTTTTGAAGATATGCTTCAAAAGCTGTTTACCAACTTTCCTGCTGCATAGCAACTTCCCTGCCTGAGCTGCTGGAGGCCAGCTGGGGGTTGGCTGTGGAGATCCCCAGGCTTGAAATCTTGGGGGAATTCAATTTGCCATCCCTAGGGTGGATCTTGGAAGCAGCTTGAGAGTTCATGGCTACCATGGTGACCATGGGCCTATCCCACCTTATCCTTTGAGTCTGTCCAGGGCAGTGCAACCATAGCATCACCCAGGACGGACATGTGCAACTTGGTATCTTTTGCCTTTTTTAAAAAAAACCCTTTATTTTACAAAGTTACTTTGGTAGTGAAACGGGTGGTGTATAAATTTAACAAATAAATGTTTGGGGGACTTTGATTTGGTTAGAGTGCTTTCAATCATGTCAGCACAATAATAGCTATAAATGTTTTTGTGTCTAAAGTTTTTGCTCATTTGGTGTTTTTTTTCCTGGCATTTTTAAAAATGCTAAAATAATGGTCTTTCTTCTTCTTCTCCCTTTTAGCATTCTATAATTATGATGCCCGGGGTCCAGATGAGCTGTCACTACAAATAGGAGACACTATGCACATACTGGAAACACATGAAGGCAAGTGGAGCAAATGTTTCTTTCATAATCATTCTCACAATCATTATCATTTTGGCTTAGTGTGTCTTGCTTATTTTGGAAAACCAGTTCTATTTTGAGACTTAATGAAATATTGAAACATTGAAATGGGCACTAAAATTAACAGTCACTACACTATAAACAGGCATGTTATAATTGACGAATAACCTTTGTAAGATGCAAATGTCTTTTTTTCTTTTTCTGACCAACCCCCCCCCCCAATGATTAATGTTTGTGTACCTTAATTTGTATGGATCTTTGGTAGTATCCGTTAAGGAGTTAGAAAGGTGATAGATGTTCTTGGTATCCTTGCAGATAATAAATAGAATCCATCTTTTAGAAGGGGTTAATCTTAAATGCTGAAACTATAAAAGATACTTATCTTCTAAATTACTTATACTGCTTTGTAAAAAAACTACATGGTAGTCAGCTATTTCAGAAATAACCTTTTATATGCATTTTCTTCATCATAAATTAAAGCAGTGGGAATGTTTACTATTGCGAGATGTTTAATTAATGAAATGTATACAGAGGCCTCTCCATTTTGTTTTATTAGCAGCTCTGTGAAAGTGATTTGCCAAAGTTAAACTCTCCATTCTTGAGTAGGGACTTGTTTCCAGGAATTTTCAGTATTGTAAGATAAGGGACAATTTCTTCATTCTTTCTCTTGTATCCAGCTGTGCTTGTCTACCTTTGACTGTATTATATTTTCAGTCTCCTTGTATCTGCAAATACAATGATGCAATCCTTTAACAATTTTATTGATTCTCCCCTATTACCCCTCCTACCCCCTCCCAGTAAGCTCTTGCTAGAATTATTTTCTTTCTCATCAATTTATACATTTGCTTGCTCTTCCTTTGCTCCTTTTCCTCTAACCTTTAGACATAAATGGAAGATGTTTCCACTGATACAGTACTGTGTAAGCTAGGAAAAACTGCTGGCTTATAATATGTACAGTAATGTGTCTTTTGGGTGGCAAATGATATGTATTTCCACTTTCATTTTCTATATGTTTTTTTCTAAAAGTCAAGCTTCATTGTTTCATTGCTGCATAATGATGATAGTTATGTGCTAACTGAGTGGCAGCATAAATTAGATTCTGAATGTATGGTTTACGCTCATGGATTCTATGTCATTCTAATGGTCTCATGTGCATAAGTGGACCTCTGCAACTCTGTTTTAATTTAATTATTTCTTTATACTATTTCTAAAGTACAATAAGAGAAAAATATTATGTCTTATAGCTCAACTCCTCATGATTTTGTGGATATGACATGTAATGTTTTGGGGGAAATAGTGTGGTTGTGTTTTGCCATTGCCTTATATTTTTTCAACTTCTTATACTAAATTTCAGTCATTTATGTATGGATTTAAACACTTGGAAAAATGGAATCATAATCCCAGAATGGAAGTTGCATTACAAGACTAGGGCTAAATCATGTCCTCCTCCTTAAAAAAAATAATAATCTGTATACAAAATTGAAATTGATATTGGTTTATAATATGTACTGTAGAAAAATGATTAGTTACCATAATAAATTATTTATCTTTTAAAAAAGGTAAGACATTTAGTTACTTGCTTCAGTCAGTATTTGGATATAGGTTTTTTTTGGTTTGTTTTTTATACTGATTTGAGCTTAATTCTGCATTTAGCTTTTTTTTCGCCTGTAGGTTGCAACTGTGAAATAAGAGAAAGGCTGTGAGAAGAGAAAATACATTCTTCCTCAGCTATACTTCCAGTTAATTCTGATGACCATAATGTTAGCCTTTGGTAAGACTGATAGCAGTAGGAGCTTTTCTGTGAGGAAGAAGGGAATTGTTATTATGATTAAGATAATATTCTGACAATATCATAATGATTCCTTGGCATATGCTGAGATGCATAATATTAAACCACTATTTATTAAGTCCCCATATAATTGTTCTATGTATCCAACCATAATATCACCAATTACTGTGATCTGTACTGAATATAATACATTTTATAATATAAAATGTACTATATATGATTTATATTAGCAATTTTGACCTTGTTCCTTTTAATATTTCAGCAAATGAATATATTTTCAGGAGAAGGGCAGCTTGTTCATTCTATTTTAATTGCAACCCTCTTGCTAGAATACTCCAAAGTAAATCAGTTGATGTGTTGATATTTAAGATAACCTTTAGATTACAGAATAAAGTTCTCTCTTCTCTATTTGCCTTCCACCTGCAATAGTACTGTAGCCAAGCTTCATGAGTGGCAATAAAAAGGAGGAAGAGTGTCCTGCTTCTGCTTTCAATTACTCACTTAAACACAATTGCTATGGTGGTTCACAGTTTACTTAAGGTCATGCCAAGTACCAGAAAAATCAAGAGATCCAGACAGTTCAAATGGATATAAAGATTTTATTGCAAACTTAAGCGCTCTATAAGAATCTGAACTACTAAAGGTTAAAGCAATTTGGTGGTAAATAAGGAATTCAAGGTGGACTGGATTTAGACCTCTTATGGGCGTGAGGCGACTCATGACTGACGATGCGTTTGACCTCTCTCTAAAGCTCAGCCTGGCATCTCCTATAGGTTAAGAGATAACAAAAGCATGCAAACCAAATAAAATTTTAGAAAAAAATGCTTTTAACGGGAATGCAGAGAATAGTCCAAATTAAGTCCAAGGTTCTGAGAGCCAAGTCATTGTTTGTCATTCAATCCAAAGGTCAGAATTATATGAACAAAATTTACAAAAAGTCACACAAGAGCTAGAGATCAGATTATTTTCAGCAGTGTTACTCCCTTGCTTGACAAATAGCCTGATGTAAAGTCTCTTCTCTCCTCTATACTTGCTGGGTGGGTGGCAGGCTGGAAGGCAATACATCAACCTCACTTGACTGCTCAAGTTGTCTGGGTGGTGCCTGTATTAATCAGTCTTAGGTGATTATTGGCTTGGTGTCTCCTGAGACTGACATTCCACAGGTTTAGCTTGAGTAGTTTATTCAGATTCAGATTCAGAATCTTGAATCCTGAGCCTGAGTCATGACACAGAGAGAAAACTAAAAACAATATATTAAATGTGGAATTCCTATCAAGAAGCAACCAATTAAAAAGAAATAAAGGAAAGAGAAAAGAATGAAAAGAGAAATATTGGGAGGGAAAAAAAATAAAAGGATACAATGAGAGATAGAGGGAGAATATGGAAATGAAACAGCAACAAATTTCAAAAACTGTAACAATGATTACAGAATGGGTAATCATTCAGTAAACCTTCATTTGTTTGAACTCCATAAGCCTGAGCCTGGCATATATAACAGCTTACAGTGCAAAGTTTCTTGCCAAATCTGTGCTGAATGGATATATTTTGTGTGAAAGATCTCCTCCAATTTGTCTGACATAGCACTATGATTCTGGATGTTTATTGTTTGTGAGATTTTATTTTAATTAAAAAGTTATCCTAAACCAGAATGAGCTTGCTAGCAATAAAAACACATGATGCTGATCACTTGCAGATGTGTTGCAGATTGGAACACAGTGAATGAGGCATTGCCACTTTATTTCTCAAGTATGGCATGTTGTTTCCACAAATGTGAGAAAAGTTTTAATAAACTGAAACAATTATATTATAATATATAGACAGTGAAGGCTATCTGAAAAATATCTCATAGGTACCACTGTAGAGTTAACATTGGGAGAGGGAAAGGCCTTATCCATGCAGAAGGATATGAGGAAAATAGAAGTAGAATCTACATTGGGTATCACATATTTGTTTGAGCAAAATATTTCAGTATACATCTTGTATAGATTTTAAATAACTTGCTGTAAACCAGGGGTCCCCAACCCCTGGCCCGCGGGCCAGTGCCAGAGCTGTGGTGGCGCAGTGGTTAGAATGCAGTACTGCTGACTAACTCACTACTCACTCCAGGAGTTCAATTCTGAACTGCTCAGCGTGGACTCAGACTTCCATCCTTCCGAGGTCAGTAAAATGAGGGCCCAGATTGTTGGGGGCAATATGCTGACTCTATAACCACTGAGAGAGGGCTGTAAAGCATGCTATTACTTTTGCTGGGCAATGGGAATTATTGCCTTTGGACAGGTGAGATTTAATCTTTATTTTGAATACAATTATATTGAATAAATTATAATAAAGGAATTTTCTCAGATACTTGTCAATCTATAATTTTTCAGTAAGGAACCAGAAAGCAGGAAATTAATAACTATTAATAAAGTCCTCTTATATTTCAACAATACATCACAATTATGAATGGTAATATATCTGGGCAATCTTATTTTCCAATTAGTTTATTGAAACTTATTAAGACATTTTACTTTTTAGGTTGGTACAGAGGTTATACTTTGAGGAAAAAATCAAAAAAAGTAAGTATTTTGTTTCTGTATTAGTAATGTCACTTTTTTAAAAAAGTATAGGCATTTATAGTAATCTCCCAAGTGTTTTATTATAGTTTGAAACTATAGATAAAGCAGAAATGTTGATGAAATAAAACTTTTAATTTAGTGCTATTAAAAATAACATTTTTTTTTCAAACAAATAACATGAATTTGTTGTATTTACTTCTTGAATAGTAGTAGGTAGATCCATTATATTTTATATCTCTTCACAAACAAACAAGATTGATTACTAGCCTTTATTTGTACTTATATATTTTTCTTTAAAAATAATTTGAAATTCTGGACTTCAGTGTAAAAGGAACACATTTAATTGAAATTGCTTCCTTTTTAAATTGGATAATTATTAAAATATATTAGAAATTGATTACTCACAGTTTATAAGGATAAGGAGGGAGAGTTTATGGAATGAAGGCTTGTCAATGTGATATTAACTTTTATTCAGTGTTACAGTGCATCAGTTCAACATTAGGTAGCCTAAAGTGGAAATAAAGGTTCCAAACTTTTTCCCTACATACATAGTAGAAAGAAAGTTGATGGAGTAGAATATAAGGCTTGTTTTAGCTCATTGTTCAAGAGTACAGCAATTTTTTTGGAGCAAAATTGTTATTAGCTTCTGAAACTGATTATCAATGAAACATTCTTTAAAATTATAACCAAAGGCTCAGTAAGGCTGGTTTTTATAAAGAAAATCTTATTGAACACTTTTCATAGATCATCCAAAAGTTAGGAAAAAAGTATAATGGATCAACATAGACCAACACTTAGAATAGAATGGTCTTATTTGAGATTCTCCTGATATTTCAGATTATCTATCTTATTATTTGAGCCAATTGTTCTGGTGGTATTTGTATTTCAAAATGGATCACCAGAAAAAGATTATAATTAAAAGCTCTACTGGACATATTGTAAATAAATAGTAATGAATTTATTTTTCTTACTTAAAAGGGAATCTTTCCTGCTTCCTATATACAACTTAAAGAAGCAATAGTTGAAGGAAAAGGGTAAGTTTTGGGCTTAAAAATAATAGATGAAAATATCAATTATATGATTTTTAATACATTTTGAATGTAAATAGGAGTGTGCAGAAAAAATGAAGTCTGAAATGTATTTTGTAATTATGAATATCGTGGTAACAAAATGACAAGAGGAATAATGCTAGACATCAACAGCTTGATTTGCATTTGCCCCCCTATGTTTTGTAATACAATATTAAGATACTTTAGTTGAGTAAACCATTAGTGTGAAAGTTTAATTTCCCTAGTTGATATTCCCTGAAAACCTATGTACAGCACGTGTCAATATTTATGAAACTGCTCTTTAGTTTATATATTTACACGGGCAGTATTGGGAAACAGAAACAAGGTTTCCAAGCAGAATGACTTCTTCTGATTTAGAATAATATTTGCTTCAAACTATTGGTTTACGCCATGACTACAGAACTTATAGAGGGGAAAGGACCACATTGATAAATTAAAAATGATCATGGGCCGCAAAGGAATATTTGGTGCACCAATCAATTTTGTGGTGGCTAGTCGAACATCAGGGCTGGAATTTGCAGCATCGATGAGGCCTGGAGGATTTGGAAACGCCTTGGCAATGTGTCTTTCTGGTAGAGGCAAATTTTTCCTGTCAAAACTATGTTTGGGGCAGCAAATTTATTTATTTATGCACAAGGGGCTTGGCAGGCTCTACATGGCCACATAGCTTAGACAACAGTTTTTAGACAATGGAATAGGGAAGAATTCTAAAGAACCATCGTAACAAGAATTATTTCCTTCCTTCCTTCCTTCCTTCCTTCCTTCCTTCCTTCCTTCCTTCCTTCCTTCCTTCCTTCCTTCCTTCCTTTATTGTTTTTACAAATAATTCAAGATGGCAAACATATCCAACATATATCCTCCTCCTATTGTGCCCAGAACAACAACCTGTGAGGTGGGTTGGGCTGAGAAAGAGTGACTGGCTCAATGTCATCCAGCTGGTTTTCATGCCTAAGTTGGGACTTGAACTCATGGTCTCTCGCTTTCTAGCCTAGTGCCTTAACCACTAGACACCACTAAAATAAAAAGGTCAGTTAGCACAAGTGCCACCCAGGGTTGAGTATTATCTCTATTGCTCTTCTCTCTCTACACTAATGACTGCATCTCTAAGGATCTCCTTAGTTAAAGTACTGAAGTTTGCAGATGACACAACAGTCATTGGTCTCATTCGAGACGGCGATGAGTCTGCATGTAGATGGGAGATTGAACAACTGGCCTTGTGGTACTACCAGAACAATCTGTAGCTAAACGTGCTTAAAATGGTAGAGATGAGAGTGGATTGTAGGAAGAGCCCTCCAATTCTACCACCTCTTACTATATTTGATGCACAGTATCAGCAGTAGAATCCTTCAAGTTTAGGGGTTCTATAATCTCCCAGGACTTGAAAGGGACACATAACATTAGAACCATCACTAAGAAAGCATAGCAAAAAACATTCTTCAGACTGCCCCAGGAGCTATTGATATAATTCTGCAGAGGAATTATTGAGTCTGCCATCTCTACTTTGATAACTGTCTGATTTGGTACAGCAATTAAACAGGACAGATACAGACTCCAACAGATAGTTAAAACTGCAGAAAAAAGCATGGTTTTTATGTTTTTTTGCCTGTCTTCCATTAAAGACCTGTATATTGCACAGGTCAGATGCCAGGCTGAGAGAATATCTACAGATCCCTCACACCCTGGATATAAACTGTTTCAACTCCTCCCCTCAGGAAGCTGCTATAGAGCATTGCATGCTAAAACATCTGGATACAGGACAGTTTTTTCCCTTGTACCACCACTCTGCTGAACACCTAATCCTCACAGTATTGTTTTATGTCAAGTATATTTGCCCATGTTATATGGCTGTATTATTATTATTGTTATTATCCTTTTCATGTTCTATACTACCTGCTCTTTTTGATATTATATTATGATTATTCCTCTGTTGCTTTGCATGTACACTGAGAGCTTCTGCATCGGAGACAAATTCCTTGTGTTTCTAATCACACTTGGCCAAATTAAGTATTCTATTCTATTCTATTCTATTCTATTCTATTCTATTCTATTCTATTCTATTCTATTCTATTCTATTCTATTCTAAAATAAAAAGACAGATGAAATACCTGAGAGTTTTAAAAAGTGGCAGTGGGGCTCTATATGAGAAAAGAGAAAAACATTCAACCCCTGGCCTTTTCCTTCTATTTTTCTGATAGAACAATGGCAAACAGAATGTCGTGTCCCTAGTCTGACACACAAATACAGACATGCACAAAGGAGAACAGTTCACAGGCTTTACTTGGTTTGAGTAAATTACCTCAGTGGCAGGCAGGGCATACAGACGCACACACTATTTCAGACAGTTGCAGTTCCCTTGGAAATTTATAACCTGAGACCCATTAAGCAAAACCTCTAGCAAGCTGAAGTGTTGTCAGGGCACAGCCCAGAGATTGTAGAGTCTTCAGAGGTTATCAGCAAAAAACAAGGAGCTTCCATAAGGAAGGAGTCAGGTCACAACACACCAAGGTTCTAGTAAATAGAGTGGCAGTTCCCAATGAAGTATTGGTTTCTAGTGATGACCCTAAAATTTAGTCCCAGTTGGTGCAAGCAATCACCTGGGGGAAGGCCTTGCCTCACAGAGCAGACCTGCGCAGACCTCCTCTGTTCTTGTCCTTCACTCAGCACTACCTGCTTTAGAAGAGGCCTTGGATCAAACCCTTCATCTTCTAGTGGTTCCAGCTGCTCCACAGGCTCTGCAGCCAAATCAGCTCCAAATGGTCTCTGAGGCAGGCTGCTGTTCCACAGGGGACATCATTTCAGAGTCTGGTCATGTGAAAGCCGGACATCAAACACCTACGCTCAAATAGCAACCATCACTTATAAAACCGTGTCTTTCTCATGTATTATTTTTCTGTGTTGAAGAACTATTTTTCATGTTCAGATGGTATTTTATGTTTTTTGTTAAATAGATGACCAAATTCATTTATAGTTCAATAGAATTTGATAAGGTTCTATAGTGGTCAGCTAACAATGTGTATATATCAAGAAGTTAAGAGCTGATTTGATTAAGGAGATAGTCTGATTTATTTTTACAGTATTTATTTTCTTGACTGATTGCAAAACTTCTTCAATTAATGTTATATATAGTAATTATATACAGCTCTAGTGATGCATTATTTAAGTGAAGTTTTGCAGAGACAAAGTGATAGAATCTTGCAAAATAAATTCCTTTATCTTTAAAACTACAAAAGATTTTGTTCAGCATTTGGGATTGAGCCAATTCCTTTACAATGCTAAATATGTTTAGTAGGAATATGCAGAATGTTCTAAGCTCAAAACATTTCAAGATTGAAATGCCTGGAGTAGGTATTGAGTTCAAAATATTGGTATTCAAAGAATTTTCCTCTTACCTTGAAATAAAACCCACTGCTTTGAGTTTGAGACTAAACTGGCCCATTTTTAATTCAATTTTCACATTCTGTTTTGTTCTTTGTTTCTTAAGTTGTGATTGGCTTTGTTTTCCATTCCCCCTGTCTCCTTTACTATAACAGAGATAGGTCCCTACCTGGTACTTTTGGATAAGACTAATTGAAAGGATAAGGGAATGACAGCAACACAGCAATTATTTAAGCATTTGCTCAGAAGGAGATAGTTGATTTTGGGTTCCATTTGTTGATATGCCTGGGCCAGTTAATCAGTGCTGTCTTGCTTACAATTAAAGACAATACTGGATAAATGATCCTAAGCATGAAAACTGATAAAAAGTGGTCTCACTTGTCTGATTGTCTTGTAGTTGTTCAGATTGTAAGGTGTTAAATACATAGACTGTGTTACTTTAATTTGTTAAATGCTGCCAAATTAAGAAGTGTACATTGTACTTATGCATTAGGAAGATAATGTTTGTATTGTTGTTGTTCATAGGCTCTGAAAAAGCGAATCCATAAAATATCATTCTTTATTGGTTGTTTGTATAAGAAGAGTAGAAAGAATGCATTTGAAAATATATTTTCATTATTTTTGACAGTATTTTTAATAACCATAATAACCACAACAAGGGACAGTTTTTCTGTAGGCTAAGTCATACAGAGTCCCCAGCATAGAATACCACCAAACTAATTGAGTGGTTGTGGAGAAAAATGATGCAGCAAAAGGCTTGTTTCATTCTCATTCAGTTCTTCCTGTGGGATAACAATTTTGAGATTTTTATTCCATATGGAATTCAAAACAACATAGAAAACTTTATTCTGTGGAGATTTAGCATACTGGAATGTTTTAAAACAAAAAGCCCTTTCTATTTCATACAGTTTTAATATTTATATTATAATAAATAATGCCAAATAATATCTCCTACTTATTAACATTTTAAACTTTAGAAACATATTTTTTATAAGCCATGTTTATGAATTGTTAAGTAAAATATAATCTGGAATACTATAAATGATAGTATTTTAAATACATTTAATATATTGATGATTAATACATTGTCCTATATTTTCTGTTCCCCCCCCCTTTGTGGTATTCCTATAATTCTTAGACAACATGAAACTGTTATACCAAGTGAACTACCACTTATTCAGGAGGTTACCACTACACTACGGGAATGGTCCATAATATGGCGACAGCTTTATATTGTAAGTATTGTAGGTTTATTTGGAATGCTTCTTTGTAGGATAACCAAAAAATTTAATCTATAAACCAGCCAAGCTAAAGAAACCAATTAAGTACATGCCAGTGATTTGAAATAATTGCTGAAGAAAAGGAATATGCTTTGCATATTAACTTTCCCAGGTAGAAACTCTTTTATTTCCTATTAAAAAGACAATCCATACTGCAGGCCTCTAAATCACAACTACTCAAAACTTACTACTGTTCTATAGTTGTACTAGGTAAAAAGGTCTGTGGATTGTCTCTAGTTAAGGAAGTTTAATGTGCTTGTAGAATGGAACTACTGGACAGAATAGGAGAAGTCACCATCTTCTTGGCCATCCTGGTTCATTTTTCTTTATGTCCAGTTGAAATCTATTTCCTTGGAATTTAAATTCATTTGGAACAAATGGAACAATTTCCTTGCCTTCTGCATGACAGACTTTCAAATACTTGAATATAGCTATCATGAGTCCCCATAGTCTTTTTTCCCCATGTTAAGCATATTCAAAGCTTTCAATCGTTCCTGTTTGATTGGTCTCTTCTGAACATGCCTATATATGTCACTGTCCTTCCTAAAGTGTAGTGTCTAGAACGGGACACAATATTCTCAGGGCATTCTGATCAATACAGAATATAGAGAAATAGAGAGGAAATTATAGTAGATTAAAAAGACCTGAGGTTAATTTGTGAATTTAATTCTGTAATTTGTGTTAATGTCGAAAATATCCAGAAGATAAAGGCATCCAGATATAGCCAAGACAGTCTTCATTTCTGGATTTCTATGTACATCAGACCTTATACATGTAATTTTATTACTGGATATTGCATCAAAAGATTTTTTATCAAATATTCTTTTCCCTTTCCGGTTGAGGTGAAGAAAATGTATCAGTTAACTTGCTTTCTTCTTTTCTTAATGCTGCTTAGTTTTATGCTGTGATGTGTATCATCTATATATGACTTGGAAGGCACTCCACTATTAATAATTAATTATATAACCTAGATTTGCTTAGACTAACAGTCAACGAACATCAGACAACCCAACTAATTGTAACAGAATTCCAACTGTCAGTGAGAGCTTGTTCTGTCTGATTCTATTGTGAGGCATGGATGTCCTCTGTAAGAACTAGTCGCTTTGGACCAAATAATACACCACTGTCAGATAGCTATATTTTATATGCTATTTAAATCCATACTGCTGATTTTCATTTTTTGCAGTTATTTCTGCACCTTTATATGCATGTAAATTAGCTGGTCCAGCTGAGGGTCTTTTGATCATGACTAAGATAATAATTTTGTCATTTCTAATTTTATGAAGGTTATTGTAAGCCTGTATGTCAAATATCTTGTTAAGATGTCATCCCTTGCAGAAGAAAAACAAGTTAAAAGTTTATAAAAATAAATGAGGAATGTAGAATGAAAGAATCACAGCTTTTTTTTAAAGTAGCCCACTTGAAATTCCTTCTCATAATAGAGTACAGTACTTGAACCTAAATCAATCTTCTCCTGAAGACTTAATTCAAAATACTCGTTTACAGGTTTTTAGCAAATGAATAATTTTAATTTTTACTGGACTACTGATTCTTGGATCACAGATGAGTTACTTGTGATTGATTTCATGTGTACTATTTCCCCATCTGATGAAATATAAATGGTTTGGGATAAAGTGATGACCTACAGGGTCAAATAATAAAGTTCATACTGAAGTTATAGAAACCTGCTCCCATACTTACCGTTTACTTCTGATTTACATTGTTCATATTTATATATTTCTACATAAAGAAAGGCGATCATGAGAGAACTAACATGTATTCTTATCAAACAGCAAGACAACAGAGAAATGTTTCGTAATGTAAGACATATGATATATGATCTTATTGAATGGCGATCACAAATACTGTCTGGAACACTTCCCCAAGATGAGCTTAAAGAGCTAAAGAAGAAAGTTACAGCAAAGATTGATTATGGAAACAGGTTTGTGATGACTAGTTTGAAACATGCACATATTTCCTTGTTTTTATTTTTGTTTTTTTGCTTTGATGATCTTTATGTTTCTGTTTATGTACCATATATTATATGTCCATTAAAAACATTTATTCTGCAGTATAAATATCATTTACAGAATCGAAGTAGCCTCTTTCTTGATTGCTTAGAGAAAGTGTTTTAAGATACAATTTTCCAAATGTATTTTTGTTCCATGCAGAACTCAGCAAAAATAATGTGTAAAGAATTTTTATTTATTACTTGTATATCCAAAATTGTGGTCTCTTCAAAACTACAGCTATGCAATGATTTTGGATCTAAATAAAATGTTCTAAGATAAAATGCACATAAGCAATTAATTAGTTCAGATCCCCAGCTTCAGTAATAAAGTACAATTGTCATTTAGATAAGATAACTCTAAATAGATTTCATAAATGCTTGAGAAGTAATAAAATCTATTAACTTTAACTGGCCCATTTGCAAAAAAGATTTTGACCATTTTCAGGATGACCCACATCAAGTTAAAAGATCATAATAAAAATTCTACAATAAATTTAATCACCTGCTTGGCAGTCAGTTGTTCCAATATGTATAAATAATCTCCAGGCTTAAATGGCACATCTGGCTATGCTAAACAATATATCACAATTAGAAGACAGAATTTCTCAACATATATGTGTATACATACAGTATGTACAGTATGTATGCACGTATATACACACAGACATACACATATGCACACAGATAAATCAATGACCATGTTATTCTTCTGGCTGCTTAGAAGAAAAGTAAATTGTTTCACATAGTCAAATTTGGAAACTTTGCAACATAGCAGTGGTTTTCAGAATGTGTTGATCTGTGGAAGTTTCTTTGGTATTTCTAGTGAAATGATAATTATAACTGAACATGGTTTCTTCAAAAGCAGCCCCTCCCCTTTCTTTATCCCTAGATTTTTTATAATTGCCCTCGCATAAATGAGATTTTGAGATACATTTGAGATGACAGTTTGAATTTATCCAAGGCAACATTAAGACTCAATAAGCCTAGTCAATACCTTGCATGAACTACATTTTTAACATGTTTTAGAGTTCTTGACTGTGTTTTCTCTGAGGCTTGGAAATGTTTTTATTCTAAGGGGAAAAAATAATGGAGACAGACTTACCTTAAGGCAAATAAATTGAAGGACAATTTAAGCATTTTAAACATTTTGCTTTATAATGAGCACATGAAAAGTGGTGGAGAGTACCAGATGCTGCTTTGTTTATATTTGTTTATTTATTTATTTGGCTTTCTGGAGATCAGTGGAAATTGTTGCCTTTCTGTTTTCCATCCCAGAAATGGTTATAAAAAATTCTGTTAACACCATTATGTAGTAGAACATTTACAGTCAAGATTCAATCTTTTCTTTTTCGTACAATTTACCAGAAGTTGTCAGCATTATTTGTTGGCTATATTATTTAGCCATCTGGATAAGGAACTAGCTATTCAACTTCCAGGTGCTAAATGTTGAAACATTATATGTATCTTTTTTTCATTATTGTTTTGATGGAATAATTAAATGATTGCTATGTATCCTTTAGAACTGAGACAACTGAGTTTGAATTTCTGTGCGTATTGTGTACCATAAAATACTGCCATTTTTGTTTAGTGCAAATATGCACTGATGCTTTCCCGCAATGAATCAAACATGAGAATTTCAGTTTGGCTATTTCTAGACATAAACATTTATAATGTCTTTAGTAAATGCTATGTGAAAAATACAGACCACTCTTTCCCTTTCCCATTCTTTTTGAGAAATACTGTAAGGTCATTTTTTAAATACAGGTAGTCTTTGACTTACAACAGTTCATTTAGTGACTGTTCAAAGTTGCCACAGCACTGAAAAAAGTGACTTACAACCGTTTTTCATACTTATGACCCTTGCAGCATCCGCATGGTCACATGATCAAAATCCAGAGGCTTGGCAACTGACTCATTTTTATGACGGTTGCAGTATCCCAGGGTCATGTGATTACTTTTGCAACCTTCTGACAAGCAAAGCAATGGGGAACCAGATTCACGTAACAATCATGTCACTAAACAATTGCAATATTTCACTTAACCACTGTGGCAAAAAAGGTTGTAAAATGGGGCAAAATTCACTTAACAAATGTCTCACTTAGCAACAGAAACTTTCAGCTCAGTTGTGGCCGTAAGTCAAGAACTGCCTGTATTGTTTTGGTTAGTTTATGTATATTATAGCAAAAGACAGATAATAAATTTGTTCAGCCTGAGTTTCAAAATGTGTTGTTTTATTTTGTCTGATATAAGAGTATAAAAAAGACCTTCAATCACTCTTCCTCTGACTCCAAATTGAATGTTATATTTTATAACTATTTGGATTGCAGGCAGAGTGACTTGATTGCAGAGTTTTTGAACAGATTTTATGTTAACCGTGTTATTGTTTTGGGTGTTATCCCTTCCATACAGAATTCTAGATTTGGATCTTGTTGTAAGGGATGAAGATGGTAACATATTAGATCCAGATCAAACCAGCACAATTAGCCTATTCAGAGCTCATGAAACAACTTCCAAGCAAGTAGAAGAAAGACTGCTGGAAGAAAAAGTAAGATACAAAATTATTTCTCCCAACTGATGTTATGATAGTATAAGTGGCTGTAAACTATAATAATAATAATAATAATAATAATAATAATAATAATAATAATAATAATAATAATAATAATAATAATAATAATAACAACAACAACAACAACAACAACAACAATAACAACAACAACAACAACAATAATAAAGTTGGGAGGGACCTTGGAGGTCATCGAGTCCAACCCCCTGCTCAGGCAGGAACCCTACACCATTTCAGAAAAATGGCTGTCCAGTCTCTTCTTAAAAACTTCCAGTGTTGGAGCATTCACCGCTTCTGGAGGCAGGTTGTTCCATTGGTTAATTGTTCTAACTGTCAGGAAGTTTCTCCTTAGTTCTAAGTTGCTTCTCTCCTTG